GCTACTCTCAAATTTAGGAGTGGATTTTAAAAAGACTCTGGAAGAAGCCTGCCCGACTAGAAGTAGCAATAGGAAACTGGGACATCATTTGAACTGTAAAGTGATGTTGGTTTTGCAGAATATTTTTACTTGCTTATTTGGCAAATAGTGCAGATACTGAGTTGTGTCTTTCATTCTTGTGTGTCTCCTTTAAACTTATTCCTGATCTCCTTTTTTAGCAATGATTTTTCTTTTTAACACTGTGAAGCTGATTCAATCTTTCTAATCATTACTTTGCTTTTACACTTTCCAGACTAAAATACAAGGGAAATCTCTTTCCAAACCTGAGGAAGTTAAATACAAAGGACAGTCGTTCACGTGTACCTTGCAGCCTACCCTGGGATGACTTTATGCCTTCTCTTGTAAAACTCCGTACTTGTGAGACTTTAAAAGAAATACCTATGCTTGCAAGGCCAAACCATATTGAGCTACTACTGAATCTGCTCTGTGGAAGGCAATGCTGAGATTGAGAAGCTGGCTGTTCTGAATGAATGCACTCTTTATCTGACTGTCCAATAAAATGTACTGAATGTTGAGCTTGGCTATTAGTCTGTTCTTTCTATAATCAATTTAGTTCTTTGGAAGATATCTTTATCTTAAAGGGACATGGTCAGGTTGTTTAATATAATGACATATGTATGTGTATATATATATATATATACTTTTTTTTCTGATCAATGAGTTGACTTATGTTTAAATTTGAATATATGAAAAGATAGCCATGAACTGGCATAAGAAAATGAGTAAATGATCAGTTCCTAAACAGATCTAGAAGAATAAAACAAATTCTGACTATGTCTCCTTAAGCTATTGCCCTCCCTTTTTCTATTCTTGCTTAGTTTGCAACTGTATTTCAAACTTTATTTCCTGTTCTGTTTTTCACCTGGTGAATTGGGTCTAGTGATATATTCACAATGAACACTTGCTGTATTACCTCCTCTTGGACTCCACTTGGTCTTAGTGCATGTTTGCATGGTGTTTGTGCATGTCTTCTCTCTTGCTTTGAGCTGTTAGTTTTTGATAATTTGTCTCAGCCAAGGATGAAATAATGCATGCTTGTAAAACACCAGGTTTTCCAGATTCTACAGTCTTACCCACAGCAGGGAGACAGTTCTTCAAGAGAGAGCTGGGATTTTGCAAAAAGAAAATGATTTATACTTCCAGTAAAGCTAACTCAGGCTATTTAAACATTACCATTTATTTTCCTGTTTATGCATCTGTTTTCAATATGGTTCTTCTATTTGTTTATTCTGCCCCACAGATGTTTTATGTCTTACCTGAGTGTTGTAGCTCTTACTGGGAGTCTGCACTGCAGTCAGAAGTGTGATCACAGTGTGCTCAATCTAGCTCTAAAGCAAGCAAGGGGAATAGGGCAGCGTAGAGCTACGAGGAGGTGCCAGCCCCATCCACGAAAGTAACTGTGCCCTGGGCTCTGCGCTGGGCTCGTTACGGGCAGCCAGGTTAGCGTATGGATGACCTGCATGGACTGAAGTCGCACCATGCACTGCAGAGCACTTAAGATGGGAACGTGGTTGGCGATAAGCTGCGTAAAAGCTCTCAAGTATGACAGTGAATGTGATAACTCACACTCACACAGGAATCCCATTCACATGAAGTCCGTGTGCGTTGTTGCTGACCCTTTCAGTAAAGTGAGTTTGTAGACACGCTTGACATGGTCCCTCTTGCTCCCCCAGCCCCACCTTGCAGTCACTTGCTTTATGAAACATGTGTTTCTGTTACTACAGCAAAGCGGTTGTGGAACTCAGTAATTAAGAATATGGTTTCCTGATCTTGTAAGCATCTCTATTGGCATTGCATTAGATGAGATGGGTGGATTAACTCTTGATTTCTTGCCTTTGTTCCTGATCCCCAAACAGTGCTTCATTTTTAATTGAGATGATGCTGGTAAAAAGTGGTTGGTGACTTTATGTTGCATGCATGCACTTTATGCTTTCTTTATTGTATTAAATAAATCCTTAAAAGGTGGTGAAGAGGAGACAGCTGAAGTCACCGAAGCAGAGACAGCCACAGAAGAGACTGGTACAGTAGCTGCTGTGGGACCTGCAGCCCTGGATGAGAGTTCTGGGGTATCCTCAGAAACTGGAGGGCAGAGTGACTTGCCAGCTGCAGACGCACCCGCTGCTGTGGAGGGAGCACAGCAGGAAGCTGCGGCTCACCTGGAAGCTGCGGCTAGTTCAGAAGCTGCTAACACAGAAGCTGCTACACTGCAAGGTTATCTTATGAATGCAGTTCGTGTGCGTGTGTGTGTTGTGAGTTCTTAAGCTACCGCTTCATGCTACAGAGTGCTAAGAACAAACCTCAACATTCCTGAGGGCATCTCTTCTGCCGTGAAAACTAACTTACCTGTTACCTTGACATATTGTGAGCCTGAGGTAACAATAACTTTCAAGAAAGTGCATTTAATTTGTGCCTGTAAGTGTGATGCCTGGGGCACCAGTGTTATTGTCTAAGACTAGTAGAATGAAAAGTTTATTTTACTACCACGTTCTATGTCTCTTTTTCAAAATCTTCATGTCCAAATGAGCATATAAAACAGTTGTTCCAGTGATCTGGTTCTTAAGGGTCTGTTAAGGAATCTAAATGCTATATTTTGCTATTCCTAGAACATTTCACAGTAGCTTATATAGCTATTTTGTTAATGTAACATCAGTAGAAACTTGCTTATCAACCAAAATGTCGCTATCATCTCAGTGATAAGGAAATAACAGGTTAAAATGTTCAATAAAACAGCAAGGCAGTATTAAATACTTAAGTAATTGTATCAATTATTCTGAGCATTTACCTCATTTGAAATATTTTCACTTCCCCAAGCTTTTTAAAATTACAGTAATACTAATGCTGAAACTATCCATAAGTTTAATGAATAATAGAGTTATAATTTAACTTGATTTTTAGGAATCAAATTTACTTACTGCTAAACTCCAAGTATAGACAAATCACTTTTACCTTTAGCTAAATCAGACAAAAGCTGAAAGGGGGTGCACACAAAGCAATTATAGTTTTTCAGCAGGTAGGAGAGTTGCAAGTCCTTGATGAAAGAGAAACTTCACTGTGATTCTTCCTTTGGAAAGGAAGCCTGTATGATTTCCAGCTTCTCTTGAATGTGGAACCTTTGCTACACACCTATTTTTGACTTCATTAGAGAAAATAAATATGTATATTTATTTATGAGAGGTACCTCCAAAATGCAACTCAAACCATCTCCATGCTGAGATGAAAAGTGTTTTGATTGGTGGACTGAAGATGGTTATATTGCCTTAAAAGGTATTAACAGATGCTGTTCCATTTGTCCAGAATCGTTTCCTTCTCTTTTTCTTTGATGACTTTTTATTGAGCAATTGATGCATCTCAATTGCTTTTTAGCAAAAGGAGTTGGGGGATAGTTCTGTGTTTCAAATGACACAGACTTCTGTGAAGGTTCTAGATACAAATGGGAGTTCAACGTGTGAATGATTCTTTTTTTCAGATGAACACAGGAACTAATTTAAGTGATATCTTTTAAAACAATATTTAGCCCAACCTTGTAAATGTAATACAGCTAATAGAAAAGTAATATATTAATGGAAAAATTGTAGTGACTACTACTGTTTACATAAAAAGACATTTACAAGAGAATAGTTTAAAAATAGTATTTAAAGATCTCGATTTCTATAGAATATTCAGATAATCATAAAAAAAAATAGTTCTGTATGTGTTAGAGTTAACAAATCGGAGATGTAAAGATGTACAGGATGTGTTTTTAAATGTCTTGGAGTATTTACCTCTGTCACTGCAGAGCAATTATAAAACTTCACTTTAAAGAAGTGGACTTGCTTGTAGCAAGAAGTGGTTAAATATTATTTTCACAATGCTTATCTAAGGATGTTTTTTTATTTGCTTGATACTGTAGTATTTTGCATATGATAAATGTTCCTATCACTCTCCTGAAGATGAGGAAGCTAAGGCTCCTCAATCTATCTTGAGGAACGTTGTGCTTAAATGGACTAGGTCTCAGGATCTAATTCTAGATGTGATGATCTTGTGTAGTTAGTGCTATTTCATAGGAGGAAACATGTTCAACTCTTAAGTTACTGCAAGTGTTGATTGGAAGTAGATGTGGTGAATAGAAACTAGTGATTTCTTGGATTTTTTTTTAATTCCTTTTTAAAACTATTTTTTTTTCCTGGCACCATAGCTAAGGAAAATCTCTTCTGTTTATTGGATATTTAAAAGGGTTTCTGAGGGCATTTTCAGATGCCCTCTATCTAGTCTTGCTCCCCGGGCTGTTGTTTGCTGTGTGGATAGTTGCCAGAGGTGAACCTGTGGGGGAATAAATCGTCAAGAAACCTTTACCTATTGTTTCAGCCATCTTTCTTCCAACCTCTAATCGGGGTGTTACACATTAGGCAGAATGCTTCCCATCACAGAGCAGAAGCTGTACTTCATCTCGGTAATTCCCTGACAGAAGGGAATGTGCTGACCAGTGTAGTGTTGCCTCTTCCCTTTTGGCGTTCCTGGCATGTTGTAACAGGATTCCGAGGTCACGTTATTGTGCTAGTTGCACCTAGTCATTCCTGGCCCAGATCACTAATAAAGACTATTTCAAAAATTGCTCGTAATTGTTGTACTTAAATCAGGAGCGAGCTGCATAAATCTCGTAGGAGTTCATGTGAGGTTCCCCAGCAGGGCTGTGGTGCTAAAGCAGCCATGTAACCTGAATCCTGCCATGGGAGGGTGCCGCTCCGCAGAGGCTCGGGCACCAGGTCACCTTAAAATTAATCTGGCTGGCGAATCTGGGTCCGCTCCGCGGGGAACAGCGAGACTCCTGAAGCATTTGTCCCTGAGGCCACCAAGGGACTCGTGTACCCATGGCTTCTGATCACGTGTGTCTCGAGCAGCACGTAGGCCCATGCTCGCGACTTAAACGAGCATCTCGAGTTTTAAAGCTAGGTGAAAGGTAGTATTTCCATTGACTTAATACTTACAATATGGTATTTTGACTCAGAAGTCTGTGATTTCTATGCATCAACGTTCAACAATGTTTACCTGTGACAAACAGCTTTTTGTATTTAAAAAATATATTTATTTATAAGTTTTTAAATAATTGTGGAAATACCCTGCTATTCTGCATCCAGTCAACTTAATTGTTTATTGTATCCTTTCCATTCAGAGAGGAAAAGTCCTTGTACACCTACTGAGGTGGGGAAGCCATTTCTCTTAGAGCTGACGAGGGAAATACCTGCTTACTCAGACAAGGATACTTATTTAAATAACCTACCGGTTTCGTTGCAGCTTGATACTACTTCTGCAGGTGAAGGTGCAAGTGTTCTTGATGTTGCCATTAAACTTTTGATTATGCAGATAATAAAATTTCTTTTTATCTGTGAGGCTTTCTGAGTTCATTAGGAAATGTAAAGAATCCGGGACATCTCTGGATGTGTGAAGTTCCTGATTTTAGGAAGTTAATTACATTTTAGCTGCCTGGAATTCTATCCTCTCCTCACTTGAAGGAACTTATCCTCCACTGGTATTTGAAATTCTGGGAAATGCTGTTGCCAAAAAGGTATTGTCAGTCCGGTTTTAGCTTCCTCTAAGTGCCATTTTCTGTACCCAATCAGTTCAGCTATTGCAGTCGCTGTCTGATGCTGGTACGTTTCATGTGTGGTTTTTAGTGTGCATTGCATTTGCGGACTAGAAATTAATTAGTTCTGGAACGGAATGGATGCCTTGAAATGCACAGGTCGGCAACCTGCCATTTGCTGATGCCTAATGGCTTTGTTGTTGCGTTAGTGACAGTTTCAGTTCCTGCTTCAGTTTCTGTTCTGATGCTATAAACCCTTCTCCAGTTCTAGTATGGAGGCGTAGGGCTTGGCACTGTCAGCTGGAATAGCAAAGCAGCTGTGCCATGGCCGCGCTTCCACGGGCTTCTGCCTTCTGGAGCAGCTCGCTGAGGATCACCGTGGATCCTTCTCCAGCTTCGCGAATAGTGGCTGTGTGAATTCTTGTCAGCGCAGTATTTCAAGCACTGTTGTTCTGTGACGGCGTTTAGGAAGGCCGAGGGACTGGGCTCGCAGAGATTAGTGTGTGAATGTGCCAGCACTTTCCATGCTGCGCGCCGAATGGCGCTGAAATGCCTGCTGTCTGCACCCCGAGAAAGGAACATGGGCTGCACGGACAGGAGCTGCTGCTCTCTAGAGGGATTTTGCTGACCCTGGCAGCAAACAGACAAAAACGCCCTGTGTGATCAGCACGTATTATTTGTGCTTGGCATGCTACTAAACCCCATTCAAATGCTTTCCAGTTTATGCTGAGGTGATGGGAGTGTTTCCAGCACTGCTGCAAAGTCCTTGAAGTTACTTGTACCTGCTGATGCTTGTTGAGTCTTTCAGACTGGAGTTGCATGGTAGAGCAGATGCATTCTTCTAATCACGTGGTTTTGGGAGCTATAGGAAAGGGGAAACCATGTCCAACCTGGAATTCTTCACAGCCGCAGGTGTTGTGGTAAGGTGCAGGAGGACTGGGGCTGGCCAGACCTTATTCATGGTTATGCCACTTATTTACAGCTTGGCCTCGGGCTGCACTTTTCCCCCTAATCCCTTTTGTCCTTGCACACATAGATCAGAAGCTTCTCGTAACAGGTCCTGCTTGCCATTGTCATGGTACAGAGCCATGGCGCTACACGGGTCTCTAGTGCAGAATGTGCAACGCCAGGTAAACGTAGGCTTAGGGGAGGTGTTCGTGTCATCTGACTATGTTTATGCCTAATTACTGTCCATAATAAAGGTCTTCTGTTCTCAATCTCCTTGTGCAGGATTTCCTTCCCCACTGATTATAGTATTCTAGCTAGCTAAATTAGGTTTCTTCATATTTGTGGAAAATGTCAGATGTTTCTCTTTGACATTTATCCCTTTCTGCATTTGTCTTTCTGGCTACTATGTTTATCTTCTACCCGTCGATTGCCATAACTTAACACCATTGCAGTCTCAACTTTCTTCTGGATTTTCCTTCATAAAACCGGGCTTGTAGATAAGTCATTAGAAACAAAATTTAGAAATAGCCTTGCAAAAGATTTAAGTGTCTGAAGACATAAGTTGGTATTACATAGGAAAAACTATCCAGTTTTAACCACCTTATCTGAAGAGATTTTTACAGCATGCACTGATACTTTTGCATGCGCTGGTGTTATTACTATATGAGGGGGAAAAATCATTAAAATGGAAAAAGCCCAGCACTTCCCAGCTAAGAGTGCAAACAAGCAAGTGTGGGAAGGTGGCATACAGAATAATTTCATTAAAACCAACTGTCTATTTTTCTATTGTAGAGCAAGTTGCAGATAACTACATTAAAAATAAAATTGATTAATTGCTGAGCAACAACTTTATTTGACTCAACTTAAACTGTTACTGTTTACTTCATAATGAAAGTTAGTACTTGTGGTTTTTTTTTTGAAAAGTTTAAAAAATGTAACATGCAGAAATACTGTATATATTACAGATCATGTTACAACGTTGCAGATGTACTGCAATATTTACAGAGATAATACTGTAGCATTTGGAGAGAATGACAACAGTGACTTCTTTTTCTTCGCCTATGGCAGCAGCGCATGTAATAAGAATAATGAGATTCTTTTGTATTTTTTGTCCTGTTTCTCATTGCAGAGAGAAATACCTTCCCCTCTTAGCCCCCCCCAAAAGAAAATGTGGTGATCTTTGCTCCTTTGAAAAGTATGCAAGTTATTAAAACTTGGCACACTGCTTCATATGAAAAGTGCTACAGGAAATGGCCATCTCAAATGTAAACTTTCCTTAGAACTTTGGAAGAATTTAATGAGTCAGGTGGTTAGAGCATTTTCATATATGCCTTTATATGAACTTGCACTAGTTTTCCTGCCGATCTATTCTAATAAATGGAAAGACGCAATGAGGATTCTCATTTCTGTGAACTTGGCAGGCCTGCAGCTGGGCTGCTTTAACACAGTAACAGCTTTCTAGCAAGATGATGTACTTGATATTTTGCGGTTCCTCATGTAGCTTCCTTCTGGATTAACATTAACTGCGTACATTATATGCATACGTACTGTGTACATAGATTTTAATGTGATCATTACAGACATCTCTCTGAAGCTTTTCTTCTAATCATCCATTGCAGAATAAGCTCATTCGTAGCATCTTCTGGTCATTAGTGTGAAATAATCAGGCTGTTTTGGGAACTAGCGACCTGCATTAGGCATGAATAACCTGTTAAATGTTTGCTTGAATGGAGGTGTTTCTTTCCTCCAGTTTAGAAGAAACATTTTAAGAAAGTCCCTCATGACCCTGTGGTCTGGGCTTTTGGCTGGACTTCATAGGTTTTTTTCCTCTGTGTTACTTAGTTACTGTGTTACTTGCAAAAAGAAAAAGCATCCCTTTATAGTGCCAGAAGTGATTAGGAAACTTATCCATTCCTCATATCCCAAAGATCTTTAAAGGGCTGCAAGTCTGTAGCTCAGGTTAGCTTAAGGCACAGCGGAAAGGTGAAAGGCACAAAGCTCTATCCTGATGTTAATAGGCTCTAGGGAGCTGCCGTCCAGCAGAGAAGGCTGAGACGGGTGGGTTTCTCTCCATCCACAGGGGGCTGGACCTGGGCGCTGAGGCAGCCTCCTGAGGGGTGCCCTTCCTCAAGCAACTTCTTGGACAGGGCTTGCTCCAGCAGAAGTTTGTGCAGCTCCTGAGCGAAGCAGGTCAAGGAACTGATGCGACTGGAAGATAATTGGTGTTTTGTTTTTTGATTATTGTCGGTTCCCTGACTCAGTTCAGCATGTAGCTGCAGAGCTGTTCGTGCTGCCGTATTGCACGGAGAAAGCGCCAGAGAGCCGAGGCCACCCTGCAAGCCAGAGCTTGTGCTGGTGGTTGAGCTATAGCCTGTACAAAATCCAGAGAGCTGAGGAGAGTGGGAGGATTCGGGAAAACACAGTGGCCAGTGCCACGAGTGCACATAGGTGTGACGTTCATTGAGGTTCCTCTGGTGCACACAACTTTGGCAAGAACCATTATCTAAGGAGCTTTTTTCTCTTCCCTTTCCTTTAAAGAAGATATGATGGAAGTGCAAGGAGTTAAATGGGCCTCAATAGGAATCATGATTTCTTCTTGCCCTTGGTGTGCTCTCTGCTGAGCTCCATCTGAGGGAATCAGGTGCTCCAACCTTGCATGTTCTTATTCTGCAGTCTCTCAAAAGGACCATCTTGAATTAATTTTAAAGCATGGCAGAGTGTGACTTTCTCTAAGTGGACTCTACTCCGCTGCCATTTTTTATTAGCAGTTCTTTCAATTCTGAAAAGCTACCTCCCAACTCTTTCTCAGTCTGAGACTTTCTAGAGAGAACTTTTTCAGGTGAGGGAGATTATCTAAGCAAAATAGCACTTTCTAACTTTTTTAAAATATAAATCTATAAATACTGTTTTTTTCAAAAATATTTTTTTCTTTCCTTTGGAGTTATTTTGTGACACTGGTTGTGCTGCTTAAAATATCAAGGCCTTTCTTGTATCCTGGCCTTTGTTCATGTGCATTCAGTGGCTCCAGGCAGATGCCTTTTGTATTATGCTGGGCAGCCTGTATTATTTTAGCTTTAGCCAAATTCTTCTGCAAAGAATTTTTTTGAAAAGTAATTGAACACGACATTCTGCATGAGAGGTACCAGACTCGTGTTGACCGCTTAAAAGGAGAAAAAGGCAAAATGGAAGATAGTGCTCTCAGTGAAATGATTTATCTCAGAAAAGCATATTTTTACATCTTAAGGTGTCAGGGGGATAAATCCTTGCCTGTTCAGATTTTTGTTTGTTTTTAACTTAAACAACAGTTTCTGTTGAAATGAATCAAAGGATCATAATCAAAATATGATGTTTTTAATATATTAGCAGGGAAATGTACGAGTAGGATAAATAATTTTGTGATTTTGGTCTTAATATGAAACTTCTATCTTGTTTAAAAAAAAATCCAACCTCTCCCAGAGCAGGGAAATAAAATACATATAATTTTCTTAAAATCAGGAACATCTGTCTTTTTCATGTGTTGTATTTATTATACTTGTAAGATCACTTTAAAAATAGAAAAGGGAAAATATATTTTTCTAAGCTATAAAAATATAATACACAAGTTCATTATAAACAAGACAGCTTAAATAATTGTGCCATTTGTATTGGTCTGTGTATGAATTGGATCATTAAGTGTTTAGGGAAACAAACAACCAAAATCCTCCACACAACCACTCCGAATCAAGGATTCTGATTCAGCACTGAGTTGATTGACCAAAGTGACCAAAAAAAAAAAAAAAAGTGAGATTAATATACTGAATTCTAAGAGCTTTTGAGCTTTTAACATTATTATTATTTGATCAATCACGTCCACTTATTTTAATGCTGCTGTATATGATGCAATTTCCTTTATTTGTAGGTATTAAGAGACAGATATATTTCTTTCGTAAACTGAAGTACTTCATCTGCATGAGGAAGGATGGCAGTGGCTCTTTCCTTTTTACCTTCGTTCCCCTTCTATCTGCTAAGGACCTTTTTCCTAACGATTAATTGCTGACTTTCTCCCATCTTAGTGGACACCTGAAGATCCCAACCTCCTGTGAATATGGCGGATTTTCCGGAGTACCTTTAAATTAGCACCGAGGGACCTTCTGTGTCCAGACTTGGCTGGGCAGAATACTCAAGCTTCTCATTTGTGGTGTGTTTGCTTCTATCTCTTGGCAGTGCTGACAGGTTACTCATGAAAGCTGCTTGTTTCATCATGGCCTTGCTTTGGTCTCTCCAATCTCGCGTATCTTGCTCTTTTCCTCAGGAGCTCAGAGTAAGCTCAGGGTACCCAGATTACCACAGTACCCAGGGTGCCATGGCTGGCACTTGCTGGAGGGCTCCGGTAGCTCCCTTCATGTGTGGTGGTGGGTGCAAAACACAGCTTGGGAAATTCAGCTTTGTGCTCACCAGCTCCTGCACAAAAGTGCTCTTCCCAGGGAGTTTTAAAGATGACTTAGAGCATCTTCTTCCAGTTCTCTCCAAGTAGTAGGATCTGGATACTGAAAGTTGATTTTTCTGTTTTTTTTTTTTTTTTTTTTCCCCTTTTTATTCCCTCTTTATTATTACCCAGAACAAAGACCCTTGAGAATTGCCTAGGCCCTGCATGTTCCTGCTTATCGTGCTTCTGTGTTTGCTGGGAGGATGCTGTGCTCAGCAGCGCTCACACCGCTCCCATGAAAGCCCCAGTAATGAAAATCACCTGGAACAGTTCCTCTTGCGTGGTCCTGCTCTGTCTGTGCCGCAGCTGTAGCCTTTGAGAGAGCAAAACCTAAACCTGGTGTCCTGGAGGTCTGCGGGAATGATGGCTCTATCTAGCGCAGCTGAAGTGGTAGGGATACAGTTTGTGAAACGTAACGTTTCTAGGTGGAACTGGAGGTCAGTACAGCACCAATAAGCTATTGGAATGTCCTAATGCTACTGCTTTTTAGAAGAAAAAAAAAAAGGGCAACCAAAAAGCCTTTGATTTCCTTTTGTCTGTAGAATTAATTTCCTTTTTTTTTTTTTTCTATTTGCTTAGTCGTAGCTCAAAACAGATGTGTTTTCATACCATAAATACTTTGGTGCTGTGCTTGGTAGTGGGCGTAGTGTGCTACTGCTCAATCATGTTCCGCGTCGGAGCCGGCGGCAATTGCAAGACACTGGCATAAAGACAGGAGATGGGTCACAGCCATCGCTCGCTGCCCAAGGAGTCAAGGAGTGCCGAGTTTCAGAGCGGTAACAGCAGGGAATCAGTTAAGGTGCTTAATCTCTTAACTTTTAACTTCTCTGCGATTTATTTTGAAAGAAATAAGTGGAGCTTTTCTGGAATTTGAATTAACAAAATTATCACATTCCTATAGAGTATCAAGACAGGCTTATTAGTAGCTTCAAAAAGAACATTAGTGTTCTTACCTACTTCTTAATGAAGCAGCATGTAAATGCTGTATTTTACATGGAGCAAGTAAGAGAGATTAAATAGGACTGGAAAAAAAAGAAAAGAAATACATGCTGATGAAGAAGAATGATGCAAAACACTGAGTTGTTTAGAGGTTCACCTGACTTTCAGAATGGGGTTAAGTTTAACAGGTAGGGAAGCAAAAGGAGAAATTCCTGAACTTTGGAATGCTCGTCCCGCTCGCGGGTTAGTAGGGAGCAGGTTCGCAGGACGCCGGCAGCGCTGCGGTCAGGATTCGGAGTGGGGCGGCCGCCTGGCTGCAGATAATCATTAACCTTGTGTGCCAGCATCAAAGTGCTTCCCAGGACAGGAGAAACGAGTTCGCGGCGCGGACTGCACAGAGAGCGCTTGTGTCAAAGCCGAGCTGCACCCAAGCCACCAAAAACACCTGAGAATTGTGCGCCCGGGTAATGTTCAAAATAATTTTCACATTCCTGTCATTCCGTGACAATAGGCTCGGGACACCTGGTGGCAGGTCTGAAAAGTGGTAGTTGTCCAGAAAGGACTTGAGAAGCAAAAGAAAAGTGAATTTCATCAAAATCCAGTCACTCGTATCATTCTTTTGTTGAGTTGTGTGTACCACAAGACTGTCAATAATCTGGATGCAGAAATGTTTCCAAGTTCTTTTTTTTTTTTTTTTCCTCTGGATGAAGTTAACCAAAACTTTTACTTGGGCCACCCCGAAATCATGCAAAGAGCATTCCTGATGTATATGCTACAGTGCATTTTTTTACTATAAGGAACACATGTGACACTTGTTTAACAGGAACAATAAGGGAAATGTAATAGAAGGACCACACAGCACATATTGCCTTTTTTTTTCTTTCTTTCTTTTTCTCCCTAGTAATCCTTAGAAGCTCATGTTGTGTTAGTGTTTAATAGTTTTCCATATATGTACTGGTAAAACTTTAACAAGGTGATAATGCAACCTCTAATTTCATCTATAATCAAGAAAGCTGTAGTTGTTAAGAGCAGCATAATTACAAAAAGAGCATTTTTTTAATGGCTATGGTGCTCTGCTCTAAACACCAAGGAACACTTAGGGAGCTTATTGCAATAGGCTAAAAAAAGGGTCACAAGATGACTTGTATTGGGCTGTCTGTATTTTTCTTACAGATAGGACATTATGAAATGGATAATGAGCCAGTGCCACCACATGTGATGCTTTGGTGAACAAGTGTGTTCCCCTCCCAAGCTCTTTCCAGCTTTCTCCCCTTGAAAAGAGCACATAAGCTGTGACAGCAGAAAGGTTGTTCATACAAAATTGTCCTACGGACCAAGGTTTTTAGAAATTGCCATGTGTAGCAGTTACTAATTTTTTTGTTGTTGTTTCTTCAAAACTCATTCAGTATTCTGCTAAATAAATAGTTGACTTTCAGAATAATCCACAGTTAATTATCTGCTAATGATAGTTTAAAAACCCCATGGGATAGCAGCTCTGCAGGTCTCCTGTTTAATTCATATTTTGTTCTTCCAGTGGAACTGTTTGGTCAGCCAATGTTGCCGATGTTGTGGTATGTGGGACAGTCTGTAACAACAGAGTCCCTGTGTAACTCAATGTGTGGAGCAGTCAAAGCACGCAGTGGTGCTGAGACCCCTAACAGTAGGGTTTGAATAATACGAGGGAGATTTACATGTAAGCACTGGCTGGTGTGCTCGGTCCTCCTGCGGCAGATGTGTGCTAAGGGTTGCGCAAACAGACGGGGTCCAGACCTCTTGCACAAATACATTGCCTCATCCTTCACGGCCCTGAAAGAAGGCTGGCTGGCAACCTTGCTCTGCTGGACCACAGCCTAATCCCCCAGCCTGATGATAGCACTTTGCTACATTAAAACATTAACATTTATACTTTGCACATCATCATTTCAACAGAAACCAGGAAACAAAATGAGGGTATCTGTGAGAGAATATACACCTTAGAGAATATAGACCTTTGGCTAAAGACAGTTGAGGGGCTGCTCTTCAGAGTTTTCCACCCAAGGACAGAAGAGTCTGATACTAGGCACTATTTTTCCTGGCATTCCGCTTGCAAGCTTTTATTTCCATGCTAAAATATGATCACCCATAGGTCTTGTGGCCCTCAATGTCTTGGGTCCAGCGTGTCCATGAGGTGGATGTGTTGTCCGCGGCAAGCCTTGAGTGCTGTGCCGTGTTTGCGATGGTGAACGGGAGCAAAGGCACGACGATTACCTCTCTGATTTGATTATAGAAGCTGAGGGTGAAAGCTTGGACGCTGCAGTTTCTCCTGCCCACGAGGAAAACTTAGACAGTGTCCAAGAAGGAGTAGCCTCAGCAGCTCAAGAGGTGCCGGACGCGGCCGCAGGGGACGAGGACGCCGGCGCGGAGGAGTCCGGGCAAGCGTCAGCAGGTGCACAGCGCGCCCGGGGCGCAAACGCTTCGCTTCTGAGACGTACAGCTAGCGGCTGTTTGCAAGGCACTAGCTGCAAGGGCGTCGGTGGTGTCACCCGTTAAGTGACACAGTGTGCCTGCTAGGGGAGACTGTGCTTGGCATCTTAGTGTCTTTGTGAGTAGAGAATTTAACTGTGAAATTATTTGCCATGCTTTAGAAATAGGTATTACTAAGCTAGACCGCTGGGGCATTTCGAGCTCAGTGCTATGCTGTGTGGCTAAGTAGCTAGATGCAAAATTTTACTGCGGGAGGCTGGGGGGAAAGAAATTCTCCCTTTTGATGAGTGTGATGTGACACTTTTTTTTTCTTTTCTTTAGGCTTACTTAATTTGAAAGATGTATTTTTTCGTAATTACATTCCTATAGACAAATATAGAACACATGGTATTTATAAACCTTACAGTGCTTCATTGCAGCTGTTGATTATCAGTTCCTATATTGCTATTGAAGATGCACAGTAAAATATGTGTTAAAAGTCATCACAGGGGAGATTTTCAAAGCAGTATAGAAGTTGCACTAAACTCGGTAAAAATTAGAAATAAGAAGGCTACAAGGAATATGTCTGTATCTCTCATATTACTTGGAAAAATCTTTTCCCTTAGCCCAAAGGGCTTCTCTCATTCCCAGTTGAGTAAGTCATCTCCTTTGCTCTGTACTTGTACTATACCACACGAGAGAAATGTTTCTTATGGGTATTTTTGTCTCTGCTTTCAGTTTCCACGGAAGGGACGGCAGCCGAAGACGTTGCAAAGGAACCCTAAGGTACGGGCGCCGTTCCCGCGAGCTGCCCGCGCTGCCCCTCGCTGCTCCTCAGCCCGCGAGCGGCGGCTGCAGCGTGGGCGAAGCCCGCACGCACCCCTGCGTGGTGGAGCTCCGCTGCCATCCAGCCAGCGTGCTCCGAGAAGAGCTTCACACGGGGATTTCTCATCATTTAGGGGTCACTGGTGGCACTTCCCTGTGGTACTGATCGTTATGCTGGCTATTCACTTCTGGCATTAATTTAATCTTGTGAAAATTCAATCGGGCCCCAAGAGTTGTGAGAAATCCAGTTATACTGTGTGCAACCAGGCTTCTTTGGGCATCCGCTTAAATGATACAAATGCTGGGCTTTGGGGCTGTCACCTTACCGAAGTGCGCTCCTCTCTTGCCATCCTGCGCGTCAGCACCGTGGGGTCGTGGCCTTCTGACCCGACTGAGAGGTGGTTGCAACAGGAGTCTCTCTGCACGTGTAGCTTGCACTGCCAGCACGTAGGGAGCGAAGGGCTCTCACTGGCGCTGGCCTCCCTGAGCGCGCGCCCGGCTGCAGCCACAGGAACTAAGGGAGGCACAAGTAGCTCAGTTGCCCTCGTTGCTTTCCAGAATAAAATACTTTGTCCAGTTTTTGCCTTCCACATGACTCTGCCTTCCCAAATGGACTGTATGACAGTGATAGAAAGCTAAGTGGACCTTGGTAGAAAAGATATTAACTAAAACAAACAACAGAAAGTTACGCAAATAAACCTCCCAGGTCACGATTCCCCATATTGCTTTTGCTCCTGGTCAACAATCGTATATTACCTTTTGGAGCACCGATGCAAGCGTGGCAGGAAAGGGAGCAAAGAAAGTGTGTTTCTCATTGTACCCTGGCAATGCGTGCCCTGAATACAGTTAGAGCATACTAGTAAAGTTGTATGTGTTCTTCACCAGTTCACACTTGCTTGTTCCATCATCCAACTGAAAATAACAGTGTCTTTACACATCTCTTTGCTAAAAGGCAAATACCATTAATTTCATCAAGAAATCAACCAGTCTTTGATCTGTCCAGTTATTTTAGTACTTAAAGCTAATTAAAAAGAAAAAAATCCAAACCTGAAAAACTCCAAAATTGTAAAATATCTTACACAAGTATTCTGTAAGTTAAGTTTCTCTACTACTCGAATTTGAAGGCAAAATATCAAAATAATTTCAATGACAGGAGAAAATAGAATCCAGTTTGCTTATTTCTTTTAAAGGAGACCTAATTATTTGGTGAAGGGCTAGCAGTAGTAATGGATGAAACTTGATGAAGCCTCGGCCTGATGCTGGCAGCGTCTCTGAGCGAGCGCCCGCCCTTGTCCCGCGCTCTGCCGGGAGCCCCGCAGCCCTCACGCTGCCCTCACGCTGCCGTGAGCTCCTTACCGCAGTAATCCCGGCCAGCACAACTGGGTTAGCTCGTGCTTAGCGTTCAGCTTCAGCAGGTAACTATTTGTAGAAATAAGGCTTAGTGGAATTTATCCAGCGTATGGAGGAACTCATTAATATCTTGGTGAAGATGAGGGGCTCCTTGAAATTCTACCTTGTTGGTGGGAGCACAGCGAGTTTTACAAGCCATCAGACGAGGGTGGCCTCCCTAGGTGTAGTGCTCATATGTAGCTCATATGCTATAGTGCACTTAACCAAAAATACAGTGTACTTTGGATGTCTGCAGAGGAGAAAGTCATGATGTATCCAGGCTGTTGCTAAACATCATTTATTCCTGCTCTCTCTAAAACACGTTCTTTTCTTCTTTTTTCCCCAGTGACATCATTGAAGCCTTTGAAAAGTTTAATGGAAATATTTGGGCAATCAACCAGCCAATTCCTGTGTGAAGCCTCATCCTCTGCCTTGGAGACATAAAACAAATTGTGTAATTTGTCATAGCCCACACTCCCTATTAGGATGACAATTCATTACTGAACCAGAGAACCTAACACAATCTAGGCTGTTTAGAGAGATGCTTCTGTAATTAACCTCTCTGTTTTAGAAAGGAGCACCCAGTAATAAATGTCAAAGCACCATCCAGAAACAAATGCATATGCTGAGAGAAGCAGTAGACTCAACAGAATCTGTCACACGAACTCATTTTAATTCTTCTTTGTCTAGTTACCCACGCTGATGTGTTACCTTTTGTCCAAACTGGGCTACAGATTTGTAACACTGTACCATTCCATGTTAAATTTTAGCAAGAAAGTTTCACTATGCTAAAATCCTACTGAAATTACTTGTTGGTATTTTTAATTTGAATAACAACCTTATTTTCTCCTGAGTTTTGAATTTGCAATAGTAATGATAGGACATTTGGTTGTACAAAATCCAGTTTTCCTCCTTCCTAAACATTTCAGGTACTATCCTCCTTTGCCCAGCCGTATGCAAGGAGAAAACTTTCTCAAAGTTTAAAGTAGTCACCTGCTTGGAGACCATTGACCTTTAGCTACCTGACAGCAAATTAGAGGATCTGTGAAAATCAAAGTAGTGCAGGTTGAAGTGATCATGAGGGGCTGGGAGATGCGGGCTCCGTGGCCACCCAACCTTACTGCCCTTGTGGAAGCCCCTCCGTGCTGTCCCGCCACAGTGGGGATGTGCGGTGGTGGCACCACGAGCTCGGCGGCTTCAGAGAAGACTGTCACACAAACTGAGAGCGATGCAGGCCGCGGTAAAGCTCCTGTTTAAGGTGATGGCATAGGTTTGCAAAGGCACAAGAGTTCTTAAAAGCTAGTGAGAAACCCATAGCCTTGGAAATGCAGCACAAGCTGTTACTTGTCAGAATTTTCTTTCAGAGAGAGGCATGTAACAGCTCAGGCAGGGCTTGAAAAGTATGGCCTTTTATTCTGTTTTTCAAAACGTGTAACCAGAAAATATATTTGTTAGTATTATCTTAATAATCTACAATAACTGATTTGTATGACAGTGTTCTCTTGAGCCCCTCTTGTACTATGGGTACACACGTGTATGCGTATGCACGTGCACGCATGTATGCATCTACTACAAAATTTTCTACTGAGATCCTCCTGGAGAAAAGCATCACAGCCATCCTGAAATGGTGATAATTCTAATTCGGATGTGAGACAAGGCATATCACATACAATCTATACAGAAACTGTGAATTATAAGGTATAACTGACTGCTTTTTCTTCAAATGGAACCTAGGAAAAGCAAAAAGGAAAAAAATACTATGCTAGACCATTCCTACCCCTTGCACAAAGACACATATTGGGCCCCCTCCAACATGAAGCAAGTTGTTCTGACGTAAATACAGCCTGTTGTGTCTGCACCTGCTTGTGAAGGGCCAGCACAGCGCGGAGACTGCGGAGCCTCGGGAAGCAGAACCACAGCCTCCTGCTTCACAGGTCCAGCCTCCGCGAGTAAAAGCAATTGTTGTAGACAAAGCTGCTGCAATAAAAGTCTTAAACTGATATTTTGGGTGAGAGTCTGTTTATCTGGTAGATTAAGGGTCCTATGCTGTGCATACTCTTAATGCGCTTTTTTTTTTTCCCCAGTTATTTCCAGTGATAAGTCTGTTTTTAATTTCTACACCTGGCAGGCAGGTTTCTGAAATTGTAGGCCTTGCTGAATGCCCCTTTCTCTCTGGAGCTGCCCTGGTAATGGACAACATATATTAGTCCTCAAGAACTAGTTCCTAAAGAATTGAAGCTTAACCTCTAGTGTGGTTTCCAGAGGCTTTTTCTCTCTCTGATTTCAGAAAAATTAGTAGTATCAGTATAACCTGTAGCGCTCTTCACGTCAGAGACCCTCT